ACAGGGGCTTCAGAAGAGGGCTCCTTCTGCATGATTAGGGGTCTGGAGCACATGACTTATGAGGAGAGGCTGAGGGAACTGGGATTGTTTAGTCTCCAGAAGAGAAGAATGAGGGGGGATTTGATAGCAGCCTTCAACTACCTGAAGGGGGGTTCCAAAGAGGATGGAGCTCGGCTGTTCTCAGTGATGGCAGATGACAGAACAAAGAGCAATGGTCTCAAGTTGCAGTGAGGGAGGTCCAGGTTGGATATTAGGAAACACTATTTCACTAGGAGGGTGGTGAAGAACTGGAATGCGTTACCTAGGGAGGTGGTGGAGTCTCCTTCCTTGGAGGTTTTTAAGGCCCGGCTTGACAAAGCCCTGGCTGGGATGATTTAGCTGGGAATTGGTCCTGCTTTGAGCAGGGGGTTGGACTAGATGACCTCTTGAGGTCCCTTCCAACCCTGATATTCTATGATTCTATTATTTTAATCAGTGTCCCATAATCCAGGTTTAGAGGATGCAATGCTTAAAATGCCAGTTCCTTGACTTATCTAGCATTCCCACTGATACTACCACTGGAATAGCTGAACTGGTGGTAACAACAAGCACAGAAGTCCAAGCATAGATGAGGCTGTAATTCAGGATGTGTAGTTCACAATCAGGAGATGCAATTGCAGTTCCTGTAGGGATTCCTGACCTAGATTTCATCTGGCTAATTTGAGTGACAATAGCAGTAATCTGTGGCAGCAGGGACAGAACCACCTCCTGAATATAACCCTACTTAGGACCCTGGATATATACTTGAGCGGCTAGCTGCTGCCATGGCTACATTGCTATTGTTACTTGAGCTAGTTGTGATGTAGCTGATCAGTGGTTCTCAAACTTCATTGCACCGTGACCCCCTTCTGAGTTTCTGACAACAAAAATTACTACACAACCCTAGCATCGGGGACTGAAGCCTGAGCCCTGCCTTCAGCCCAAGGCGAGGGGACTGAAGCCTGAGCCCCAGCTTCAGCCCTGGGCGGGTGAGGAGGGGGGGGGGGCTTGGTCTTCGACTTCAGCCCTGGACCCCTGCAAGTTTACTGCCAGCCTTGACGACCCCATTAAAGTGGGGTCACGACGCATTTTGGGGTCCTGACCCAGAGTTTGGGAAGTGTGAAGCTAGATCAAAACTGACTTGGGAATGTCTACAAGCTCATGTGCCAAGGCACACTGTTCTCTCTCTGTCGTGACCAGACCTAGCGAGTTCTGTTTTTGTGCTCAGCAAATATTCCTCTTCACTATTCAACTTCCTTCGACAGCTGCATATACTCTTACCAGGGCTTTGTCACTATGGGTGTGCCTACCTGAGCTGCACATACCCATAGTGACAAAGCACTGCTTGAGAGTGTTAAGCAGCTGGTAAAGGAAGTTGAATAGTGAAGAGGAATATTTGCTGACCAAATAAACAAAACTGGATGGGTCTGGTAATTGGAGAGAGAATATAGTGTCCCTTGGAGCATGAGTTCCAGAGCTCACAAAGTTCATAAGAAGGAAGAGGCTGTGGAAAAGAGGCACTCAAGCCTCCCATTTTTTCAGGGATATGTTAAGTGATTTGACAATGAGAAAATTTGGACAAATGTCTAATGAAGCATTTCAGTCAGAAAGGCCATGAGTGAGCCAGACAGAGATGGTTGTGGAGGTTCAAGATTGAGTGAACATGCTTTGAAAGCAGAGTGCTGGGTCAAATGCACTACTAGGCTAGGGTGTATGATTACAGTACATGTGGCCAGTGAAAACACTGTACAAAATGTAGGGGTAGTCTGGGAAAGAGTAGCTTGAAGAAGACCAAAAACCCAGTGGCTATGATGAGAAGTATGGGATGCCAGAGGCTCTCCCAGAGATTGACTCACTTATTTCACAACACCAAAACATGCTAGCTGCTTAGGACATGTATAAAAGAAACCCACAACTTCCTTTGGTGCTTTTTTTTTTAGATGCGAAGCATTGGGTGGATAATGGACAGAGAGGTAAAGAAGAAAACTGATTATAGTAATAGGATCATATGGAGACTCAGTTCTGGCATATGTATTTTTACTGATACGCAGTGGAACCTCAGCTTTTTAGTATCTTTTTTAATTATTCTAGTTCTTGTAGATCAGTGGTTTTCAATCTTTTTTTCATTTGTGGACACCTAAAAATTTTCAAATGGAGGTGCAGACCCCTTTGGAAATCTTAGACATAGTTTGAGGACCCCCAGGGGTCTGTGGACCACAGGTTGTAAACCACTATTGTAGATGGTAGTACAGAAGCAAGGTTAAGAGTGGATTTAAATAAGGAGAGGGAAGTGTGGCTTGGCATTCAGGTTTTAGGAGGCATGCCACATATAGGCGTGTCCATGATGAAATGACAAGGAGTCCGGTGGCACCTTAAAGACTAACGGCTTTATTTGGGCATAAGCTTTCATGAGTAAAAAACCTCACTTCTTCATATGCATGGAGTGAAAATTACAGATGCAGGCATTATATAATGAAACATGAAGAAACGGGAGTTACCTCACAAGTGGAGAACCAGTGTTGACAGGACCAGTTCGATCAGGGTGGATGCACTCAATGACTTTATGGAGGTGGAGCCAACATAGGCTTGGTTTGAGGTGATGATCTCTTGAGCAGCTAACACAAATCTCAGTCTATTTACCTGCTGATTCTTAATTACCACTTGAACAGGTCTTTCAGAGGACTCTGCAAAGCAAAGTAATGTTTTAACTTGTAAAAAATCAATAGTCTTAGATTGTTTTGGGATAAACTAATTTATAGTCTGGCCTTTGCAGCAGACTGCAGCAAAAAAGGGGGAGATAAGAAAAAGTCCTGATCACTAATATTCCTGTAAAAAGAAATATAGCTTTAAGTGCCAGATGGTGCGAGCACAAACATAACACAGTCCTGTGTTGCTCATGTGGAACTGCACTTCCTGTGGGAATTCTGAGAGGGATTATTCCTCTCCTAGTATGAGGGTGAATCGATGCATTCCATCATCCTTTTGGATCCTGCAGCCTTATCTGTCATGACCTGCAAACTTTGCTGGAAATTGGGAGTTGATCGTGCTTATCCTACGTAGGTAACTGTTACACGGAACATCTTTGGTATTTTTTTAAAAAATAGATTTACCCCAGTAGGTGTTGAACAATGCTGTAATGCCTGCAAAATGTCTGAAGAAATAATGTATTAAATAAGATCAGTTGTGTGGGTCAAAAGTTCTTCCTTCTGAGTAGACTAAGTTCCTTGTAAAGCTTCAGGTTGACTTTAATGTCTTCTCTATTGGAATGGTTTTAATACATTCAAGAAAATTTGAAAGAATTCAAGTCAGGTGATGGTTTAATTTTGGACTGAGAAAATGGATGGCAATCTACTCACAATATTTAGGCTTGAAAGTGTTAGTGTTAAATGTCAATATGTTAACATCAAGTTTTTTCCCCCCTCCCTCTAGGTTCCTCCTCAAATCTTTGATGAACCAATGATTGCTAAAGAAATGTATGAAGTTGCAGTCTCTCTGATTCAATTGTTTGATGAGTTGGAAATGAAGGAAAGTGGGTAAGATATACTCCAGGTCTGTTTGTGAAGAACTTGTGACTCTCAGTTGAAATGAAAGTCGAATTAGGGAATATGATTCTTTGCAGTACCTATATTGCAATTCTGACATGGCTTTAATATTTTGCACTTTTCCTCCCTTTGTCTTGAATGATCACTTATTGGCATGATTTCTGCTCAGATTAATTGTATTTAGACTCCTTCTAGCTTTTATTGAATTTCTTGTATTTTTTAAAATACACTCCAGGGCACAATGTGTAAGTGACCATTAAAGCTATGTCAGTTGAAAACTTTATAGACTCTTTGATGCAGGCTGGGATTGAATGTTCTTTATATGAAGCAAAGATGCAGAACTCGAATTTATTAACAAAGGAATGAGGAAAGTATTAGTATATAAGAACCAATGAAGGCTGATGTCTTTTCTTTGTATTTTTCAGACTTTCATGCTTAATGAACATACTAGGTTAGACTGTAGAACAGATTAAGGCGATTTCATTTGCCTTGCGCTATAGCATTTTGTAAATTGGTATTTAGTATCTGCAGGAATGTGGTTAAAAAAAATCTAAAGATACTAGAACTTTGTCTAGTGCTGAATAGCAACTTAAAGCTACACTTTTCTGTCATGCTTTGTTCTGATTTTTTTACTAATTTATAAATATATACTGAAGAAATAGCTTTAATTTTTAGACTGAAAGCTTTTTTTAATGTTGTTATGTAAGCTTTTGACATTTTAGAAAAAAACTCGTGAAACTTAAACTTTACCAGATTGCTCTATAAAACGTAAGTGTTGATGGGGATATTAATGTGATAAGTATGCCGCTCATTTATCACTTTCATTATGAGGATTTTTTGATCTTTCTCATTTTTTCTGAAGCACTGAATACTTCCTATAGTGCTGCTTTGTTCGACTGTTTTAGAATACTAGTCAAAAGTACCATACAAAATGTTCTCATTACCAATATTAGTATATTTATTATTGTAGTTTTTAATTTCAGAAAGGGGCATTGCTCATAATAGGAAGAGACATTAGTACCCTCTAGTGAAAATGAACATTTCTGGTATTGATATAATTAAAATGTTTTATATGTACAGTAAGGGAATAGTGATTTTCATGCTACATTTACAGAATATGTTATAACAGTATGAAGTTACTGCTACCAAGTGTAAGATTTTTGTATTACATTAAATTGATTGTAGCCTCTGGTCTCTGTCACACACAGGCTAAGCAGAGTGATGTCTCTAGCAGTTCATGTCATGGCTTAACTTACCAGTGCTTATGAAGTGAAAGGATTCCATTTGTTTGCTATTGTAAAACTGACTAATTCAGTTGTAGCTCATTATAATGAGCTTTGCAATTTTCCTTACTGTTACATGCTGCTTATAATAGGAAAAACTTTTGTTAGAGCTATCTAATATAGCATTTTTTTAAAGTTTGGGCTTCACAAATTTTAACTAAATGAAGTTAATACTGTATTAATTCTCAAGTAGTGATATCAGAGAGAGATTTTTATATAACACAATTTTAATGCAAGGGAAACAGGAGTACTTCTGCATGTGACATAGTTCTAAAGACCATGGAGCAGATTTGCTTTCAGTATTTATGTACATGTTTTATGGAAAATATAGCTTTAGGTAATGTTTTGTATCATGTCTCTTCAATGAACTTAAATAGCACAACTTATAGGAAAAGTGCACTTTTGTTACTCTTACAAGATAAACTGTTTTTAGGGAACTGAAACATAATAGGTTGAGGTTAGTGAAGTATGAAATTAATTAAAATATATTTTTAATATTAGGGAGAACAAAAATTTGGGCCTTATGTCCGAGCGTGGCAGTGTGTTGGTGTTTCTGCCAGGTGGGTACTGACATTTTCTCGTTGTGGTTTTGGTGAGGGGATGCAGCTTGTTAGCGTGTATTGAAATTACATCTTTTTTTCTCTGACATCACTCTTCCTGTAATTGATAACATGAACATCTGTACATATATCAGTCTTCATTTTATCCCAACCCTGTATGAACATGGCAGCAAATAAAAAAGTGACCTTTGTTGTAAAATACTCTATTCTAATCTTAGAATTTTCAAATAAAGTTGCAGTATAGCAAAAGATACCAACCCTGCCACTGCCCCCCCCCGCCCCGCCCAATGTGTTTTTTTCAGCTACTGGGTTAAATACTGAATCATGTCATACTTGAAATTCTGCATTCAGTTTCTGCATTCTATATGGTTACACAGTTCCTTCATATGACTGTATGGTGAGTAGTGCCTCATATCCAGCCTTCATCAAGATCCGTGAAGTAGGAGCTAAGCGTCATTTTTTTTCTGTATGTTGCTTGGCACATTTTAAGCATTTAATAAATAATGTGTAAGGGAGGGACCACACAGCACTTCATGAATGAACAAGAGGCTGTATTGGTTTTTGAAGAACCAATTTAAGTTGGAAAAACTTAAACTCGCCTATTAGCCTTTCCAAAAGTATGAATCTAGTTGTATAACTACTACCAAACAAAAGCCTTGTGTCAAGTAATTCATGTAGGGCTGTCAAATGATTAAAAAATATTAATTGTGATTAATCACGAGATTAAAAAATAATTGCGATTAATTGCAGTTTTAATCGCACTGTTAAACAATAGAATACCATTTAAATATTTTGGATGTTTTCTACATTTTCAAATATATTGATTTCAATTATGACACAGAATACAAAGTGTACAGTGCTCACTTTATATTATTTTTTTACTAATATTTGCACTGTAAAAAAATAAAAAATATTTTTCAGTTCACCTCAAATGTACTTGCAAATGTAAAATAATTTTTTTACATAACTGCACTCAAAAATAAAACTGTGTAAAACTTTAGAGCCTACAAGTCCACTCTGTCCTTCTTGTTTAGCCAATCGCTAGGTTCCACAGACAAACTAGACAAATTGGAGGATTTGGCCAAAAGAAATCTGATGAGGTTCAACAAGGACAAGTGCAGAGTCCTGCACTTAGGAAGGAAGAATCCCATGGACCGCTACAGGCTGGGGACCGACTGGCTAATCAGCAGTACTGCAGAAAAGGACCTGGGGATTACAGTGGACAAGAAGCTGGATATGAGTCAGCAGTGTGCCCTTGTTGCCAGGAAGGCGAATGGCATATTGGGCTGTATTAGTAGGAGCATTGCTAGCAAATTGGAGAGTCCAGTGGAGGTCAATGAAAATGTTTAGGGGGCTGGGGGAACTAGGGTTATTTCATCTGCAGAAGAGAAGAGTGAGGGGGGGATTTGACAGCAGCCTTCAACTACCTGACGGGGGGTTCAAAGAGAATGTAACTCGGCTATTCTCAGTGGTGGGAGATGACAGAACAAGAAGCAATGGTCTCAAGTTGCAGTGGGGGAGGTCTTGGTTGGATATTAGGAAACACTATTTCATTAGGAGGGTGGTGAAGCACTGGAATGGGTTACCTGGGGAGTGGTGGAATCTCCATCCTTAGAGGTTTTTAAGGCCCAGCTTGACAAAGCCGTGGCTTTGGTGTTGATGTTGGTCCTGCTTTGAGCAGGGGATTGGACTAGATGACCCCCTGAGGTCTCTTCCAACCCTAATATTCTATGGTTCTAAGACAAACAAGTTTGTTTACATTTATGGGAGATAATGCTGCCTGCTTCTTATTTACAATGTCACCTGAAAGTGAGAACAGGAATTTGCATGGCATGTTGTAGCCAGTATTGCAAGGTATTTACATGCCAGATATGCTAAACATTTGTATGCCCCTTCATGCTTCGACCACCATTCCAGAGGATATGCGTCCATGCTGATGATGGGTTCTGCTCGATAATGATCCAAAGCAGTGTGGACTGATGTATTTTCATTTTCATCATTTGAGTCAGATGCCACCAACAGAAAGTTGATTTTCCTTCTTGATGGTTTGGCTTCTGTAGTTTCCGCATCGGAGTGTTGCTCTTTTAAGATTTCTGAAAGCATGCTGCAAAACTTGTCCTTGTCCCTCTCAGATTTTGGAAGGCACTTCAGATTCTTAAACCTTGCGTTGAGTGCTGTAGCTACCTTTAGAAATCTCACATGGTATCTTCTTTGTGTTTTGTCAAATCTGCAGTGAACGTGTTCTTAAATCGAACTACATGTGCTGAGTCATTATCTGAGACTACTATAACATGAAATACATGGCAGAATGTTTGTAAAACTGCAGAGCAGGATACTGTGATGGGGTCAGGCCAGATGGCTACAGGAGAGTGATGGAAAGTAGCGACATTAGGCCTAAATTAAGCGATTCCCTTTTCCCTGGGTAAGATAACAGGAGCTGTTCCAGAACAATCAGGAACTTGCTGGAACCAATTAAGGCAGTTAGGCTAATTAGGACACCTGGTGCCAATTAAGAAGCTACTAGAATCAATTAAGACAGGCAGGCTAATCAGGGCACCTGGTTTAAAAAGGACCTCACTTCAGTTAGTGAGGGGAGTGTAAGGAGCTGCGAGTGAGAGGATGTGCTGCTGGAGGACTGAGGAGTACAAGCGTTATCAGGCATCAGGAAGGAAGGTCCTGCGTTGAGGATAAAGAAGGTGCTGGGGGGAGGCCATGGGGAAGTGGCCCAGGGAGTTGTAACTGTCACGCAGCTGTTACAGGAGACATTGTAGACAACTGCTATCCACAGGGCCCTGGGCTGGAACCTGGAGTAGAGGGCAGGCCCGGGTTCCCCCCAAACTCCCTATCTGACACAGGAGGAGTTGACCTGATCTGTGAGACACCAGAGGGGAAGGTCTAATTTAGAAAGGGATCTGGCCTGTCCCCGACCCACTAGGTGGGACAACAGAGATTGCGGAGATCGTTCTCCCTTTCCCCCATACTGGCCAGTGATGAGGTTAGCTGAGTAAATGTTAGATTTGAGCCTGTAGCAAAAGCGGCCAAACTGAGGGCTGCCGTGAACCTCTGAGGCGAGCAAATCCGCCAGGACGCGCAGGACCCAGCAGGGTAGAGGAGGAACTTAGTCACAATACATACAATTCTCCCCCAAGGAGTTCAGTCACAAATTTAATTAACACGTTATTTTTTTGATGAATGTCATCAGCATGGAAGCATGTCCTCTGGAACAATCTGTCTTTTTAATCTCTCGTCATACGGAAGCTGTTCCATACCGCTAATCATTTTTGTTGCCTTTCTTTGTACCTTTTCCAATTCCAAAATATCTTTTCTGAGATGGGGCAACCAGAACTGTACACAGTTTTCAAGGTGTGGGTATACCATGGATTTATACAGAGGCATTATGATATTTTTCTGTCTTATTATCTATCCCTTCCCTAATGGTTCCTGCATTCTGTTAGCTTTTTGACTGCCGCTGCACACTGAGCAGATATTTTCAGAGAGCTAGCCATGATAACTCCAAGACCTGGTTCGTGAGTGGTAACAGCTCATTTAGACCCCATCATTTTGTATGTATAATTGGGATTAAGTTTTCCAATGTACATTATTTCGCATTTATCAACACTGAATTTCATCTGCCCTTTTGTTGCCAAATCATGCAGTTCTGTGAGATTGAAAGAATTGGGTTTGTTTAATCTGGAGAAGAGAAGACCGGGGGGGGGGGGGACACACACAAGTTTTCAAGTACATTAAAGGTTGTTACAAGGAGGAGGGAGAAAAATTGTTCTCATTAACTCTGAGGATAGGACAAGAAGCCATGGGCTTAAATTGCAACAAGGGAGGGTTAGGTTGGACATTAGGAAAAACTTCCTAACTGTCAGGGTAGTTAAACACTGGAATAAATTGCCTAGGGAGGTTATGGAATCTCTGTCATTGTCTAACCTGCTCTTAAAAATCTCCAGTCACCTGTCAGGGATGGTCTAGATAATACTTAGTCCTATCTTGCGTGCAGGGGACTGAACTAGAAGACTCTTGAGGTCCCTTCCAGTTCTGAGAGTCTATGACCTTTAATAAATCCTTCCTAAGGGATGTCTCTGTCCAAACCATGTGCTCCTCCTCAGTTGTCGCCTTTCCCCCAACCCTTAGTTTTAAAACTCCTCTGTGACCTTTTTAGTCTTATATTCCAGCCAACGGGTTCCATTTTAGTTTAGGTGGTGTCCATCCTTCCTGTATAGGCTCCTCTGTTTCTAATAAACCATCGTCTCATCCACGCATTGAGATCCCGCAGTTCTGCCTGTGTAACTGGAAGCATTTCAGAGAATGCTACCATGGAGGTCCTGGACTTTAATCGCTTACATAGCAGCCTAAATTTGGCCTACAGGACCTCTCTCCTGCTTTTTTCTATTATATTGGTACCTATATGTACTATGACCACCAGGTCCTCCCCTGCACTGTACATAAGTTAATAATACTATAATATAATAAGTTTTTCTAGATGTCTCAAGAGGTCCGCAACCTTCGCACTCAGCAGACAATTTACCATGCATTTCTCCTGGTCATCATAAACCCAATTATCTGTATTTCTAATAATCAAATCTTCCATTACTATTACCTGTCTCTTCCTAATAACAGGTCCCTTCCTCCAAAGAGGTATCCTGAGTGCAAGAGGATACCATGACATCTTCTGGAAGGAGGGTCCCAACTATAGGATTTTTTCTTTTGCTCCAGCTTGATGTTCTCCTTCCTCGAGACTTTCATCCTCCTCAACAGCACAGAGGCTGTCAGACTAGGGGTGGAACTGCTCTCCTGTGTCGTAGAAAGTCTTGTCTATTTATCTCTGTCTTCCTTAGCCCCTTCAATTTAGCCACTCTGGTTTCAAGAGCCCATACTCAATTTCTGAGGGCCATGAGCTGGTTGCACTGAATGTGCACACCTGCCACCTGCCCATAAGGCAGGTAATCATACATGTTGCCTTCAGTGCAATAAGTTAAGTAGCCACCCCCAAC